TCTACAGCCGGCGCAAACTCAACTCTGAATCTGGTCACGAAATCTGACCACGTCATAGCCTCGACGGCTGGGGCTCCCAATGAGTCACCAATCGACTCCCACCAGTCTCTAGCTCTATCCCTCAAACATCCCGCAGCAAAGCGGACCTTCGATCCTTCCGGGCAGAAGCTCGTCAACTGCGCAGACTCAATGTCTGCGATCCATCTCCTGGCAGCGATGGGGTCTTTCACCCCGTGATAATCCGGCGCACCACTCCCACGGAAGTCCTTAAAGGACAGTGTGCGCGTACTCGTCTGGCTAGACGCCATATCACTCCTGAATGCCCGGAGGCGATCCTCCATCAGCTCAACAATCCCTTCCTTGATCGACCCGAAAATGACCGGGGTCGACTCAAGAATGCCTCTCGTGACGAGCTTCAAAATCAAACCATTCAAAACCATGGATGAAATCAAAATCAAACCATTCAAAACCAAACAAACCTGACGAGCTTCAAACAGAATGAACCTGAAACAAGAAATCGAATCCATAAATGGTGGCTTGGTCGTTACAAAAATCAAATCCAAAAACCTGGCACTGATGAGCTTAAAATCCTCAAACCTTGCTTCGATGAACCTGAACCCCCAAACCAAAATCCAGAAACTGAAGTATCTAATCGATCTGGTGAACCAAATCAAAATCAAAACCTGTGCAAATGGCGATGCTGTTGTGCTTTCTTGTTGTACATATTTTCGGCTACTTTGACAGTGGTGGTTGTTTCTAGTATGTCGATGGTGGCTGATCTAGGGGTTGTTTGATACAGAGAAAGAAAGAGGTGAGAGATTTAGTGGTAGTCAAGAGGAACGTTGGTTATGGTTTAGCATCCTCGATCTCGTTCTAGTGATGGCTTCTCCTGTGCACATCGGAGGAGGTGACCGGCGTAGAAGAGAGACGACAGAGTAAGCTGGCGTGAGAAAAGAGGAATAAGATGTCTAGGTCGTGGTCACCGACTCAAAATTAGGGTATATGTCTATAGTTGTACGTTAGCTTAAAGGGGTTGTATTCTTGTTTATATTAAAAGAATAAAAGAAATAAATAAATATTAACGAATATAAAAAAAATACAAGTTTTTGAAAAAAATGGTAATATAGTCATTTTAATCTTGTTAGGGACCAAAACCGAAACAAATAAATACCACAGGGACAATCCGAGTGCAAAAAAAATGTTAGGGACGAAACACGTAATTTGGATCAAAATTTCAGTAATTTACTCTTTTTATAAACAAAATACTTGCAAGATTAATAGGTAAATCAGTTGAATTTTAGGCTCTAAATTTTTCGAGGCCACGTGCCATCGCATACATTGTACACCCTCAAAAGTCAATACCAACCATGTCACTAATAAACATTTTTTAGTGTTTTGATAATAATAAAATATAAATAAATATTAAGTTAAAATAAATTGTTTTTTATAAGTTGTTTCATTATAACTTATTTGAATGTTTATTATAGGTTTACTCATTTACCGATGGTAATCCTTCTAATATCCAAATTCAATACCAAACTTCTTATTTGTGAAAAAGAAAAGAGAAGAGGTGGGTTGTCTAATAGGGTTCTTTAATCAACACAATTCCAGTTTCGTTATTCTTCTTTTCATTGGCAGTGGTTCCTATACCAATTTACCCCTTTAACTTTGTCCGGTCATTTGTTGTGTATCATAGTGTTTCGGTACCATATAAGTGTTAGGAACCGGACCGGGTACACGCAGCGGAAACACACTATCACACACACACAAACTCACGAAAATAAAGCAAGAAGAACACAAGGATTTTACGTGGTTCGGATTCGGTGCAAATCCTACGTCCACGGGCTGCAACTAGAGAATTTTATTAAAACTCACAAGATTACAATTGGCTTGACACTCTACACTTGATGTTCTCTCAAGTTTTTGCACACAAAATATGCAAAACATACATGCATATATATAGGTATATTTGTGAGCCGCAATATGCACAGGATTGCCGCAAAGATTGACTTTGAAAATTTTGCCATTCACATTAGCCGTCCAACAAATATTAAATAATTGTCCACCGACCATTTGAATATTTAATTCAAACGTTTGCCGACAACAATTGAATAATTCAATTGTTAAATGTAATGTTACATTTATGACCCTTGAACTCTTAGGAACTTGTCAATTTGTTCAAGACTCCATAAATCTTAACAATCTCCCACTTGGAGGCTTGAACAACATGGTCCGTCTCTGTCATCCAACTCCAGTAATCTTAAAACAACCAAGTCCTTCAAGCTTCCAGTTCCAAAGAACAAGCTAAAACTTAGTCTGATTTCTTTAATTGCAGCCGCCCCTCATCTTCAAGTACTAGAAGGGCCAGTTGAAGCTCCCACTAGCTCCAACTCAGTCGTGGCTAATCCCACCACCGACTCATCCTCTGTCTCAACCGGTTTGGACACTCCACCAGATCCAGAGATACACCGAGGACCACTAACACTCTCCCAACTTTGCAAACTTCCAACAAGAGAGAATTTTCCAGTCTTAGTCTTCAAAACCCAACGGCTCTTTGTAAGTGTACCCGGAACACACCCCGTGCTCCCACTGTCACAAAATCCCCTGAATGGTTTAGAATTTCCGACTCGTTCAGCTAACATCCCCTTGGCTCCAGAATTCATGTTTGCAAAATGAACTCTCTTAGCAGTAGATTTAGCGAACCAGATTTTGTTTTGCTTAATCGGGATGGTCATACTTCCCTCAGCAGGTACCTCAACCATATACAATGACCCACACTTCATACCACGAGCAATCACCAGATCACCATTGACCACCCTCCATTTACCACCACCAAACCTTACTTCCAGTCCTTGTTTATCCAGCTGACCAACAGAAATCAATTTTTTCTTCAGCTCTGGAATAACCCTGACATTCTTCAGGCTCCATGTAGTTCCCAATGAAGTAACTAGATCAATATCTCCCATGCCCGTTACTTGAAGCATCTCGTCATTTGCTAACCGTACCTTTCCAAAATCTCCTTTTTTAGATTCACCATCGTTTCCCCGTTGTCCATGGCGTGAAACGAAGCCCCTGAATCCATGACCCAAGAGTCTACAGAACTTTCCATACTGAGTATCAATGCATCATCCTCAGACACACTCTCAGCACCGGTAATGTTCAATTCTTTCTTTGGACATTGACTCTTAACATGTCCCACCTCCTGACAGTTCCAGCACTTCACATTCTTCTTAGTTCTAGATGAACTTCTTCCCCGACTCCCACTGCTTCCACTATTCCTGCTATTCCCTCTACCTCTTCCGACATTTAATAAATCAGAAGAGGAAGATCCACCTTGATTCTTGCGTCTGATATCCTCGCCTAGAACCAAATCTCTAACCCCTTCAAAAGTCATACCACTGGTCCCCACGGAACTTGTAACAGCAGTAACTGTTCCGGACCAGCTATCAGGTAGAGAAGCTAGTAGCAGTGATGCTTGAGTCTCGTTATCAAATTTAATTCCCACAGATGATAATCTGGACAGAATTGAATTTAAATTATTAATGTGAACCGTAACTGAGCCTTCCTCATTCATCCTTGTAGTGAACAACTCCTTCATCAAGAACACCTTGTTAGCCGCCGATGGTTTCTCATACATATTTGACAGAGCCTCCATCATACCACGCGCCGTGGTTTCATTCATGATGTTGAAAGCAACGCTCTTCGTCAATGACAATGTAATAACCGCCTTGGCTTTCTTGTCCTTTGAGTTCCACGCATCTTCAAAAGCTTTTTCCATTTTCTCCGGTTTGTCTCCGAGTACCATGTCCAAGTCTTTCTGACATAGCAATGCTTCTAATTGCATTTTCCACCAGCTAAAATCAGAACCGTTGAACTTTTCGATTATAATCTTGTCTTCAGCCATTACGACAAACAAGATACAAATCAGGTATACTCGTGCGTGAAAAAAAAATGATTGTACCCTCCAAACCTCGCTAATCTGGCTCTGATACCAGTTGTTAGGAACCGGACCGGGTACACGCAGCGGAAACACACTATCACACACACACAAACTCACGAAAATAAAGCAAGAAGAACACAAGGATTTTACGTGGTTCGGATTCGGTGCAAATCCTACGTCCACGGGCTGCAACTAGAGAATTTTATTAAAACTTACAAGATTACAATTGGCTTGACACTCTACACTTGATGTTCTCTCAAGTTTTTGCACACAAAATATGCAAAACATACATGCATATATATAGGTATATTTGTGAGCCGCAATATGCACAGGATTGCCGCAAAGATTGACTTTGAAAATTTTGCCATTCACATTAGCCGTCCAACAAATATTAAATAATTATCCACCGACCATTTGAATATTTAATTCAAACGTTTGCCGACAACAATTGAATAATTCAATTGTTAAATGTAATGTTACATTTATGACTCTTGAACTCTTAGGAACTTATCAATTTGTTCAAGACTCCATAAATCTTAACAATAAGTTCATCCCAACATTTTTTCTTAAATTTTGTTTTGATACCACATAAGCTTATAAGCACTATAAGCAATCCCAAACACACCAATAGTTTCATTTCATACGAATAATGAATGTATCTACAATTCTACCCAAAATAAATACATTTTCTTTACCAATAATGGCAACATGTAACAAATAAAATACATTGTCCATGTCGATATACATTGTTATTATAGGGGAAAAAAATATAACTACGTTGTTATTATAGCTAAAAGATAAAGCACATTCCTATTATTAGGAGAGAAAAGTAAATACATTGCTACTATGGGTAACAACCAAAAGTTTTCCAAAAGAACTTTCATTTTCATTACCAAAACAACTGGTTGTAATAGAATTAAACGAAAGACACACACAAGACATACCCCTAATTCTATCGATTGAATCTTCTTGATCAAACTCGATGAACAACAAGCCTCTATTTACATTGAGGGATAGAATATACATTCTTAATAAAAAAAACCGATAAATGCCATTTTACTTACTCCAATGTGATCTCAAGTATCGTAGTAAGTCTCGGTTTTCTATACAATCGAAGAAGCAACGAAGAGCACACAACACAAACTGAAGAGAGCGCCATGCAAGCACCAGCGACCCATGGCGGCAATTGGACTTTGAACCACGGAAACAGGATTCCGGCAGATATTGGAATGGTGACAACATTGTATGCCATGGCAAAAACGTAATTTACACGGATACGGGCGAAGGTTTTTCTTGAAAGATCGATGGCGGTGATCACGTCTTCTAAATCGTTTTTCATTAGAACATAGTCAGCGGCTTCGATGGCGATATCAGTTCCGGCACCGATTGCCATTCCGACGTCGGCGGCTGCTAAGGCGGGGGAATCGTTGATTCCGTCGCCCACCATTGCAACGATGCTACCGTCTTTTTGAAATGAACGGATGATTTCGGCTTTTCCGGCTGGCATCACCTCTGCCCTTACGTCTAGAATTCCAGCCTGTAAATTGAAATGAAGTTTATTAAATTTTATGAAATTCTAGGAAGGAATTGGAATCTTATTGAATTGAATTTTGTCAAGCGTTTAGTTGGAAGGAAATGGAATTGAATTAGAAAACATACCTCTTGTGCAACAGCTCTAGCAGTACGCCAATTATCTCCAGTAACCATAATAGAGCGAACACCCATTTTGAAAAGTGCCTCCACCACAATAGCGGCTTCTCTCTTTAACGGATCTGCAACTCCCATAACACCGATAAGTTCGGAATCACAAGCCACCAGAATGCTTGTCTTTGCATTCTCTTCTAAATCCACCATAAAATCTTCAACATCGAGGGGAATCATAACCCCTTTCTCTTTCAGCAAAGCTCTGTTTCCTACCTGTCCAAAGCAATTCAAATAAGAAAAAAAGATTTAAACAACAGTATGGTTTAGTTTAGTCATTACTCATTAGTGTCTTGAAATTTACCAAAATCTGTTTCTGTTTGATGCAACACTCAAGGCCTCTTCCTGGAATTGCACAGAAATCAGAGGTATCGAGAAGCCATCCTGTCATTTTTTCATCTTTGGTCCCTCTTGGAGAATCTTTTGGAACCGAAGGATTCTCAAAGAAATGGAAATGGCGAGCGTAATCACATATTGCTTTTGATAATGGATGTTCGCTATTAACCTGAGGCGAATTATTAAATGATTCTCTCTTTTTTTTAATAACCGAACAAGAATGGATTTATATTTTATACCTCAGCAGAAGCGACCAATGTCAAGAAGTCTCCACGATCCATTTGTGTGAATACTTTGACAGTGGTAACTGCAGCTTTATTCTGAGTTAAAGTACCGGTTTTATCAAATATTACATATCGAATATTTTGAGCCCTTTCTAATGCATCTCCTCCTTTGATGAGAACACAATTATTAGCTCCAACCCCGGTTGCAACCATCACAGCAGTTGGTGTGGCTAGACCAAGTGCACAAGGACATGCAACAACAACAGCCGAAATAGAAAACATAAGTGCAAATTCAAAGTGGGACCCATTTGGAGGCAACCAGGTTTCTGGGTAAACTCCAAAAATTCCACTAAAGTACCTGCGTTTAGTAAAGATAATATCATAAGAATATTATCTTTATCTTTATCTTTATGTTTTGTCTTGTCATGCATAATAAGCAAATCGGACCTTACTTACCACACGATGAATGTCATCATTGACAAACTAACAACTGTAGGGACAAAAATGCTTGCAATCTGAAACAATCAACATGCCATTGAATGAGTAATGTGCTTATTCATCTCAGAAACAAACTATTAAGTTGTTCTTTATGGATTAAGAAAAAAAAGATACTTTCATATATAACTTATTAGACTAATGTTAGGAATTGAGACAGGGTACACGCAGCGGAAACACTATCACACACACAAACGAAACGAGAAAATAAAGCAAGAAGGAACACAAGGATTTTACGTGGTTCGGATTCGGTGTAAATCCTACGTCCACAGGCTGCAACTAGATTTTCTTATTAACTCAATAAGATTACAATTTATAACTCTACAAGTTATATTTGATGCACACATTCTCTGCTACACAACACACACACACACACACACACATATATATATATATATATATATATATATATATAGATATATATATATATATATATATATATATATATATATATATATATATATATAGGAGATGTGCCGTAAACTTTTCTTGATTCACACAAATTTGCCGACATGTACGTCCATTCAATATTAAACAATTGAATTGTTTAATATTTGTCAAGTTACATTTATGGCCCTTGAATTCTTAGGAACTTGTCAATTTGTTCAAGACTCCATAAATCTTAACAATCTCCCACTTGGAGGCTTGAACAACTTTAGCTTTTCTCCGCCATTCAACTCTCAATTATTCCAGTAATCTTAAAAAACAACCAAGTCCTTTTAGGCTTCCAGTTCCAATGAACAAGCTAAAACTTAGTCTGATTTCTCTAGTTGCAGTCGCCCCTCATCATCAATTTCTAGAAGGGCCAGTTGAAGCTCCCACTAGCTCCAACTCAGCCGTGGCTAATCCCGCCACCAATTCATCCTCTGTCTCAACCGGTTTGGACACTCCACCGGATCCAGAGATACACCGAGGACCACTAACACTCTCCCAACTTTGCAAACATTCAACAGGAGAGAATTTTTCAATCTTAGTCTTCAAAACCCAACGGCTCTTTGTAACTGTACCAGGAACATGTCTCGTGCTCCCACTGTCACAGAATCCCCTGAATGGTTTAGACTTTTGAACTCGTTCAGCTAACATCTCTTTGGCTCCAGAATTCATGTTTGCAAAATGAACTCTCTTAGCCGTAGATTTAGCGAACCAGATTTTGTCTTACTTAACAGGGACGATCATACTTCCCTCATCAGGTACCTCAACCATATACAATGACCCACACTTCATACCACGAGCAATCACCAGATCACCATTGACCACCCTCCATTTACCACTTCCAAACCTTACTTTCAGTCCTTGTTTATCCAGCTGACCAACAAAAATCAATTTCTTCTTCAGCTCCGGAATCACCCTGACATCCTTCAGGCTCCATGTACTTCCCAATGAAGTAACCAAATCAATATCTCCCATGCCCGTTACTTGAAGCATCTCGTCATTTGCTAACCGTACCTTTCCAAAATCTCCTTCTTTTAGATTCACCATCGTTTCCCCGTTGTCCATGGTGTGAAACGAAGCCCCTGAATCCATGACCCAAGAGTCTACAGAACTTTCCATACTGAGTATCAATGCATCATCCTCAGACACACTCTCAGCACCAGCAATGTTCAATTCTTTCTTTGGACATTGACTCTTAACATGTCCCACTTCTTGACAGTTCCAGCATTTCACATTCTTCAAAGTTCTAGAAGAACTTTTTCCCCGACTCCCACTGCTCCTGCTATTCCCTCTACCTCTTCCGACATTTAATAAATCAGAAGAGGAAGATCCACCTTGATTCTTGCGTCTGATATCCTCGCCTAGAACCAAATCTCTAACCCCTTCAAAAGTCATACCACTGGTCCCCACGGAACTCGTAACAGCAGTAACTGTTCCGGACCAGCTATCAGGTAGAGAAGCTAGTAGCAGCGAAGCTTGAGTCTCATTATCAAATTTAATTCCCACAGATGATAATCTGGACAGAATTGAATTTAGATTATTAATGTGAACCGTAACTGAGCCTTCCTCATTCATCCTTGTAGTGAACAACTCCTTCATCAAGAACACCTTGTTAGTCGCCGATGGTTTCTCATACATATTTGACAGAGCCTCCATCATACCACGCGCCGTGGTTTCATTCATGATGTTGAAAGCAACGCTCTTCGTCAATGACAATGTAATAACCGCCTTGGCTTTCTTGTCCTTTGAGTTCCACGCATCTTCAAAAGCTTTTTTCATTTTCTCCGGTTTGTCTCCGAGTACCATGTCCAAGTCTTTCTGACATAGCAATGCTTCTAATTGCATTTTCCACCAGCTAAAATCAGAACCGTTGAACTTTTCGATTACAACCTTGTCTTCAGTCATTATGACAAACAAGAGACAAATCAGGTACACTCGTGCGTGATAAAAAAAAAACGATCGTACCCTCCAAACCTTGCTAACCAGGCTCTGATACCAGTTGTTAGGAATTGAGACAGGGTACATGCAGCGGAAACACTATCACACACACAAACGAAACGAGAAAATAAAGCAAGAAGGAACACAAAGATTTTACGTGGTTCGGATTCGGTGTAAATCCTACGTCCACGGGCTGCAACTAGATTTTCTTATTAACTCAATAAGATTACAATTTATAACTCTACAAGTTATATTTGATGCACACATTCTCTGCTACACAACACACACACACACCATATATATATATATATATATATATATAATATATATATATAATATATATATATATATATATATATAGGAGATGTGCCGTAAACTTTTCTTGATTCACACAAATTTGCCGACATGTACGTCCATTCAATATTAAACAATTGAATTGTTTAATATTTGTCAAGTTACATTTATGGCCCTTGAATTCTTAGGAACTTGTCAATTTGTTCAAGACTCCATAAATCTTAACAACTAAGTCGTTTCTCCATAAATTATGGTTGAAAATTGAAATGTGTACTTACAAAGTCAGCAAACTTCTGGATAGGAGCTTTGGACATTTGTGCTGTTTCAACAAGAGAAATAATCTGGCTTAAAACTGTATCAGAACCTATTTTGGTAGCTTGAACATGGAGGGATCCATGTAAGTTTATAGTCCCCCCAATCACTAAAGAATTTATCTCTTTTAAACAAGGTGTTGATTCACCAGTAACCATACTCTCATTCACATAACTTGAACCCGAGACAACATGGCCATCAACTGGAATCTTTGACCCCGGAACAATTTTTAATATATCTCCTAATTGAATCAGTAATGAATCTATCTCCCTTTCTCCCATAACATTTCCATCTGCCACAAACACAAACTTATTAATATCAAGAACTAGACAAGCTTTGTAGGACTATACTGGATGATGAGGATGAAGAGGGCATTCGTGTCTTTTTGCATGGATGTAGCTTAATTTTCAAAAATAAGCTACATTGAGTCACTCATAGACCAAAAATAGTCATTTTACTGGAAACACGAGTCAACAACTTACAAGAACCTCAAATAAGGGCCAAAACTACAAAAGAAAACTTCATGGGACCAAAATTGAAAAAATCAGCTATACTCTGTGACCAAAAAAATGTAACTTACTCTTTTTCTAAGTGGTAAAAGATGTTGATGGTTTGGTTCAATTGCTATAGAAAATAGTTAAGTACCTTTGTCTAAAAGAAGCAGCAAAGCTGTTGAAGGTGCAAGTTCCACCAACTTCTTTATAGCATCTGAAGTTTTCCCTTTTGCAAGGGTTTCCAAGTATTTCCCAAACAACACAAAAGTTATTAACATTGGACTTGTTTCAAAGTAAGTCCGAGACCAAAACCCTTTGATTGCACCATATAGAAGGGCATAAATGGAATAAAAGTATGCAGCTGAGGTTCCCATAGCCACCAAAACATCCATATTTGTTGCACCATTACGTAATGCTCGAAAAGCAGCAATATAAAAACGCTTCCCGGCTTTAAACTGAATGAGGCTAGCCAATATCACACGCAACCAATCACCAATTTGGAATGGTCCAATCCATAAGAGTAATATGTAATTAAGAAAGGGTATATGTGGACATATGAATCCCAATGCAAAGATGGGAATCTGTCATCAAGTGGAATAGTTATCAAACACGGTTCAACCTGTTCTTGATCTTTCAAAATACAATCAAGAAGGCATAAAAATGAAGTTATTAACAAAAGAAACAAAAAAAAAAACCATTTGCTTACCCCGAGAGAGAAACTGAAAAGAAAGTTGTGCAACATGTGTGAAGATTCTTCAAGATTTTGAGTAACCATTCTCGCATAAGGATTCTTTACATGTACTTGAAAATTACCACCACTTTCTTTATGAATCACATCAACTAAATCTCTAGGAGTAAGTATCTCAGTATCAAAAAGAACATCTACTTCACTTGTTATCTTGTTATAATCAAACTGTCTAACTCCATTCATGTTGCTTAATATTCCATCTAACGTATGTTCATCCAAGTGATTCGATATCCCTGTTATTCCAAACATGATTCTATCTTGTCCACTGCTTTGTGCAAGTGAAGCCTCAAAACCAGCATCTTCAATGGCATTGATGATTTCGTCCTTACTAATTGTAGAAGGATCATATTCTACTTCCCCTAGTGAAGTAGCAAGAGCAACTATAGCTTTTTTAACACCAGGAAGCTTTCTTAGAATGCCTTCAATGGAATTAACACAAGCTGCACATGTCATGCCTCCAATTATGAACTGGCCTACTACAGTTCCATGTGACTTTCCATGTGTTGTACCCTGGTCTTGTAAAATCTCGGCCTCAAACCCTGCATCTTCTATTGCATTCTTGATATCATCTTGCTGAAGAAAGTGTGCAAATCATGTTCTCAGTTTGTAAAACTATGTGTTATCTATGAACTTTTTTCATCATATTTCTTGGTTGATCTATATTATACTCAAATTTAACTTTTAAACAGCTTATGTTACCATTGGCTTTGAAAATAGTACTCCTCAATCCATTTGGGAGTGAAATGGACTGTTTTTCAACTACAAAATTAAGTACCTAATTTTTTCAAGAAAATTCCAATGACTAAACTGAAATTGAATAAACATATATGTGAAAACTGTGGTCCCAATCAAATTAAAATAATAAAATGTATATCAGTTACGAAAATGATAGAAAGTGGGGGAAAACCTAAGAACAATAAGAGGACAATCTCTAAGATTGATTTCTGCAAAATGTAAAGTTGGAACAATCATCAATGTTGACCTAAATAATAGAAACATATTGTTTACAAGTTCGGTAAGCTTACGATCACAATTTCACATTATAAATTATACATTCATAAAACAAAATGGTAACAGCAAGTATTCTTTCGTTCAGATATTACTCCATGAATCATGATTCAGAATTTAGTGAAAAGGAATCACAGAAATGAGACTTACATCGACCAAATTGGGATGAAAAACGACGTCAGCTTTATTCTGTAACAAAGATACGGAGGCGCTAACGACGCCGTTGAGGCTCATGAGTGCTCCTTCGACTGAATTGGAACACGCTGCGCATGTCATCCCGGTGACTCGCACCTGAATTCTCGTAACGCCTACTTTCTCCTTACCTTTCCTACTTTTACCGGCATTATGATCATTGTAATCATCCTCATAAGAATCTAAAAGCCTAACGTCCTCGAGGTTACAGCCTATGTCGATCGTCGACGAAGCACGACCACCGCCGTTAACACGGCCCCCAACCTCCGTCAGCTGGAGGTCTTTGAAGGTCGGCGTCATGATTAAACCACAGGCGATCCGAACAAATTCTATATAAATGTCCTGTACGTATATCGACAGAGAGAAAATCTACATTACATATATACACAGGCATATGGTGAAAGAAAGAGAGAGAAAGACAGATGAAACTGATACTATTAAGGACCCAGGCACCCAGCCATGACGCTAAACTCTTTCGTAAATGTTCAGTTACACCCCCTCGTGTTATTTCAATTCACATCTTAGGCACTTAGATTAGTTTAATTCATTTATGAACAATTTATTTTTCCCTCTTGATATTGTCAAAAAAAAACTATGAATATTTTTGATGTTTTGCATCTCAAAAAGAACAATCAAACGACCCCAAGGAATATGCACCAAGATAAATATGACTTGGGCGGATCGATAACCAAGTCATCGCACCAATGAGACATTCTGGACAAACTAGTTTTATAAAAACCACTAGTTGGTTTGACTTCATTTTTCGTGAGAAGGAGATACACTTTTTAGTTTAATTTTAAGTTTGTAGTCTTTATTTCTTTTATGTTAACTTTTGACTTAAACACTTGTATAAGAAAAAATTAGAACTTTCCAAACGGAGATTATTCTTAGTGTATCTTGAATGTTCCAATATCGTTTTTGGTTATTCCCCTTATGTATCTTCCGCATCAGTTAGTATCGTCCATCTAAGATGTTCAGTTGTAGAACACATTGTGTAAATGCAAATCACCCTCACACGGTGTGGACATGATGGAGTTGATCATGAGTCCCATGTTATCAAAAAATTGAGAGGATGAATATGGAGACTAAGACGATAATGCAACGCGTTCCAACAAAAATTGTAGACTAAACATGATATATATGTAGGATTGGGGTCCGGGTATGGTTATGATCATTGGGAGTCATATTTGAGGTATAATTTGTTTCTTGTCTTCTGTGCGACCCAAATCGGTAATCAGCAATGAAAGTGTTAAAACTTTGTATTAGACCATAGTTAAATCAAGTATCAAGGCTTGAACCTAGGCTTAAATTGTAAATGTTAAAGAAAGTATAGACGTGTTAAAGAATGAAATGAATAAGAGTGTAAGGTGGTGTTTGTTTTTTGTCTGCAGATCTGCGTGGCCTCTTCTATCTGCGCCGCGCAGACCATGCGCAGACATTAGCCTTCACAGACTGTTTGTTTTTTTGAAGACTGCAGACCTAAAAATGTATGCGCGCCCTCTTCTTGGCGCAGATGTGGACCAGAGTCTTCTAACATCTTCAGACATCTTCTAGCCTAAAAAAACACATATATCTTTATTTTTTTTAAGTTTTTTTAATTTATATTTTTTCCAACTTCATTAATGATAAACAATTTGAAAAAAAATTACAAAACTTAAAAAAAAAAACGTTCGACAATACAAACATGATATTTTTGACAAATTTATAAATAAATATTTATTACAAGAATAGTCGTTGAAGTTGTTTATATAAATATGAAAAAAAAATCATAATATATATTCTTATATTTTTTTGTCAAATTTTGTAAAACATTATTTAATACAGTATCGTCAATTTCTCGAGAAAATATTTATGGTACGTTTTTAATGGATTTAATTGAAAAAATCGAAGTTTATTTCCATCAATTTATGTATCAAATTCTTTGATCCCTAATTATCATGTTTAGTTATAACTTTGCAACCAAAGTTGTTGGTTTTTTATCAAATATATACGTTAATTCATACCATTTTTATTTTTATTTTTTATACAATAATACATAAAAATTTGATCTAGATTTGTTAATTATTTATAACGAAGTCATACAAAATATTAAAAAATCACTTTGAAGTTTAAAAAAAATCAGTTTATTTAGATTTCAGTTTATTTTAGTAGCCCGCAGATGTTAAAAAAACAAACAGTCTTCTTTTTTCAGACTGTAGACGTTTGATCCACCTCTTCTACTGCAGAGGTCTACAGATGTGGTCCGCAGACTGCAGACATATTACCTCAGAAAAAACAAACAACACCTAAGAAATGGCAATGAAAAATTGGTCGTAGGAAAGATTATGTAGCTAGGAAATTAGCTTATATGCATATGACTAGGCTGGTTTACTAACATATTAGGGTGTTTATGACAGTCATCAAACACCGCTTTATTTGTTATGTTTTTTTCAACTTCCATATCCTCAAACGTGGAATTTTCATCAAACGGAACATCTCGACCTAACTATCACAATTTTTTGTGTCATCGGAGTGTACAACTTGTACATCTTGATTCTTTCACTACAACCAATCAAAATAATTTTCTCTTACTTGTAATTGAACTTGCTTCTGATTATTTCATTTAGAATATCAAAGTAAGCAACACTCTCAAATACCTTTATATGGTAGATATTAGGTTTCTTACGTACCAAGCTTCTTGTCGTGTGCCATACTCCAAAGCTCCTTGTTGGTGATCTGCTAGCAAGGTAACCGTTATTTTACCTTTTCTTTTTTAGAAGATATCTTGTCATCTCTATTATTGTTCTATTCTTTCTTTAACATACACCATTTTGGTGTGACCAATATTCTAAGAAGCTAAGCATGGCTTCGCCAAGGCTCACATCCGACACGCCATAAAAAATGTCCGCTTGAATTATATATATAAATGTCAACTTGAATTATATATATATATATATATATATATATATATATATATATACACGGACCCTAAGTCACACCTATAAAAATGTCATGACTCGCTATGTCTCCTAAAGCTTGTGGTCTCACCTTGATGTAATGTATTCAGTTATTTGGAACCTTGGTTGTGATATAATTTTATTCTTTCTTTCACATACTCTAGTTTGTGAGCAATTGATAGTTTCTGTTTATTTACTTCTTTTTATAGTTTATTTAGCATTTTTCATTCCAATTTTAGTTAATCATCATGCATATTTTCTTTTTTGTTATTTTCTATCTATATCAGGTACTTTCTAGTCTTTGAGCTTAATTTCATATTTTTAAAAGACTAGTGTGGTGCGGAGATGTTCGGGAATCGTGGGAATCATCAAACTTGAAGAATGAAGAATCATGAGCTTGATGACTTGTGGGAATTATACAAAAATAGGCTTGTTGAAGAGTGGATGAATGAAGAAAAATGGGCTTTAAACCTAAAAGAAAGTGAAAGAAATATTTGAGCTTGTAAATTGATTGATCAAGTGGGTACACGAGCTTTGGACGAATATGAGGAGGTGAAGTGGGCCAAGAATTGAAGAAATATTAGAAAATTGTGGGCTACAAGCTAATAGGAAATAAATCGGGCCAGTGGGCTAAAACAGTGGAAGTCCAATATACAAGGAGCCCATTCTGCAGGCCACCCGCACAACCGTGTGCGGCTGCGCAGACCCTGCTGAGGGTATTTCCTGGATTTTACCTTTTGTGTTATATAGGGAAGGTTAGTGAGGCTCTTTTGCCAACTTTTGGAGGTCTGATTTTGGAGCATTTTCTCTAAAGATTTGGGAGCTTTTGAAGACTTGAAACCTTGAAGAACTTCTCATTTCATCCTTGATTCTTGCTATATGTTTGGTATATCTAATTTTTTTATTGTTTTCTTGAGTTTAGTTATGCTAGTCTAAACTTATCTTGGTTGAGTTTGGTGAAATCCATGGTGATTAGTTGTTTGAAGACTATTATGAGCTTTTGGTGATTTTTATGAAAGTGTTTTGTATTTGAACTTCCTTCTATCTATATGTCTTTATTCTTGAGTTTAGATATATATGTAGTGATTGGTTGGCTAATTTATTGATTAAGTAATGGAATTTCAAATTAGCAAGCAACAAATGGTTATTGTGTTAGTTTTCACTTCACACAATCATAAAAACACTTTCTCCAACATGGTAGTGAAAGCATTCGACTCCTCTTGGATTTGGTAACTTTTTAATTCTTAATGCTAGTTAACTTTCACTAATTGCATTCTTAATGGAAATTGTGACTTTAAGTAAGGAAACATCCTATGAGTTCTTCTAGTTATTTTACTAACTAAGAAAATTCTAGGTAATATCAAGCTTCTTGGATTGCTATAGCCAAATCAAATTGAACCTAAAGTCTTACACCATAATGTCTAATGATAATCAATAAAGTGTCCATGTGATGAAATCCAAAGTCAACCATATTTCTCCCATTGATTTACATCAAGCTCTTGTTTTTGTTGAATTGTAATTTCCAAGTCTTAGTATAATTTTAGTTTCTTTAAACAACCAAAGGATTAAAACCCCTATTTTTACTTTTATTTTTGTTTCACAAGTATTTATACAAAAAGATATTTATAGAGTTATAAATTGAACCAGTCTTCGTGGATTCGATCCCCTTGACATTATACACTATTTTGTGTGCAATTCCTAGGTTATTTATTTTGTTGGCCTCGACAACTACCAATAATTATCAATAAAAAGGGTAAAATAATGGTTACCTCCCAAAGACGAAATTTTTATCGGGCCACAATGATCAGAACAAATAAGTTCTAATTGTTTTTTTGCTTTCCATGAAGACTAAGAGAGAAATGAATTTTTGTGTTGATTTCCAAAGTAACAAGTAAGGATGAGCATGGAACGGAACCAATACTGACTCGAGAATCCTTATAACACCTAGTTTTGGGATGTTTTTATTATTGGTATAGCGGGTCGTAAATGGATCGAGTAAATATATTAGGCTTCAAGGGAATAGAGTTTACTATCAGATTTTGATAATGTTAAGTTAAGTGATTAAAGCCCTCGAACTGTGCTTAGAAGAAAAATGGTAAAATGGGAAAAGTTATATGTCGGGCTTCTTGAATGGGTTATGGTTTAGTTCAACATGTATTAAGCCAAAAATAACTATATATAATTATGGGGCTCGCCAATACCTTTTGGTGCATATAAAGATCACCGAAAATAGAGTTGAAACGCAGAAGCTATAACTGTTTGAAGTTAAACAGGAAATTGGAAATTTTGTCCTACGTGGAGCGTAGGTTATGCTACGCTGAGTGTAGATGCTGCAGACCAAAACCCTAACCCTAATGTTTTGAG